AGCAGGAGAGCCCAAGGGGTAAATAGCTTGGAGTGAGACAAGCTCTATACCAAACATTTATGGCTGCTTGATTAAGAGACAGTCTAGATTTTTTTTGTTGCTGTTTTTAAGACAGTCTGGGTTGTTTTTTTTTTTCTGTCTGGGTTTTGTTTGTAAAGTTAATTTGGAGCTTGTGAAAGTCACAGCATGACCCTTGTTGACTGAAAACTCTTCTCTCCAAAAACACCCGGCACCGAGGCAATGAAAGCTCGGCCTCCTGCAACGCCCTGCCGGCATATTTCGGCATTAACCTGCAGCAACTGTCTCCAGACAGGAGAAGTGAGTTCAGCCTCAGCAGCCTGCAGCTCCAGTGCCAATTGCAGTTCATGTTTCAAATTAGCTGAAGTTTGTTATTTTACACTTTAGGTAGGAGCTGCAACGAACTTTTCACCAGCGACCATATACAAGCCCCTCTAGGATGCCTTGGAAGAGCTCCTGATGAGTTCACCAATGTTTGCACATTAACCTCAGGAGGCGAAGCCAGCCGGAGGGATGTGAGAGCTGCACCAAGCCCTCCAGAGCATGACACAAAATGATGCAAGTGTGGGAGCTAAGAGAGAAGAGGTTGTGTGAGCCCAGAAAAATAATAAAACATTTAAATCCTTAATTGTTTTTCTTGAAGATTTATCCAAGATGGAGCTCTCCGTAAGCTTGTGAGCTTGCAGAGCATTGTCAATAAATTAGATCATGCACACAAGGCAGCAATTTCAAGCCAAAAAGCTCTAGCCATGAGTCGCTTAACAGCAACACTCCCCAGAAAAACGGCTCGAGATGAAACATGAGATATGTATTAATTATCAATGGTCTAATAGAAAATGTAATGAAGACAAGTATCTTCTTGCACTTTATCCATGATAACGATGATAGTACGTCAGTGAGATGCATACCTTACAACGTGGCGGTGAATGTCAAGTCTGAAGCCATTATAGCAATTCACCACAATAACGGCTAGCCAATGCATGGACTTGTAGCACTTAATCAAAGCAACGACATTCATCCACAATTATTTATGTTATGGTAACAAAGAGCTGCCAAATGCAAAACAAATGACATGAGGATTTGCAAGTGGATTCCTTCCCGTAAATTCTCCTTAGGTTATGCTTAAGGGCCATCAGGATGGAAGACTGTATAAATTCAGGGTTATCAACAGTGTTGTTATTGTGCCACGTTTTACAGCCTATAAGCAATGAACCCAGTGCTACAGCTGGAATGACCTCTTTAGCTGGTGCAATCGCATTGACATCGTTGGAGCTGGACCTGATATACACCTGAGAATGATCTTCAGGATTTTAACAGGGGAAAAAAAAAAACTGAAAGAAGATTTTTACTTGCATCTGTCTATGCATCTGCCTGAAGACAAAAACCCAGTTGTACCAGCACTTATACATGTATTTAACTTAAAATATGTGAGCAGTCCCTATTCATTTCAATGGGCTTTGGATTAGAGCCATTATAATTACTAAACATGATTCTCTGTTAAATGCAGTACTTTTCTCGTAGGGGCATTTATGTGGGTGTTTGTATAAAAACACTGTCAAAAACGAAGAACAGCAGTAAATATAAAATGGCAACATTCAGGTTCAAATGCAATGAACTAATTTATTTTTTTTAACACTACATTCAACTGTTTTTCACTACTCACAGATGTCACTGAAACAACTTGAATGAAAAAAATAGCCTAAGAACAATACACTACACAGACCAGCTAATATTCACTGCTTTAAAAATGCCCCCCATTAAACTAAATAATAGCCAAATCTTACTGCAGTAAATGTGCCTTTATATCATTAAATACTAATTTAATAGAAATCTGAATGCCTAGCGTAAAACATCAAAATGTTTTAAATGAAGGATTGCTTTTTTTTTTTTTTTTTGGCCTTATATGAGTCTCCAAAGCAAAATCTGAAAGAAGAAAACAACCCTTTCATATTAGCCCGTCGTTTATCCACATGGGCCCAAATTGGAATATAGAAACTCAATTATATACCTTCCAAAGTCAATTGGGCAATGGTACCTTTTTATTTTCAGGAGTTATCTAGAGCAGACAGAAGTCACCATGCCGTGAAGTGCTGGGCACCCGGGGGAGACGCTGAAGGAACCTCGCTTGGGGCCTGAAAGCTTTTTCCTACCTACTCCCGGCAGCCTAAAAGGCTTTAGAGAGGCTGCGGTGGAGGACAGCGCGGAGGTGGCTCTCACCACAGGCTCTGCCCACCCTCGATGACCAGATTGTGGCCCGTCATGTAATCGGAGGCTTCGGCCGCCAGGTAGACCACGGCGGCCTGCAGGTCCGTCGCCTGGGCCAGCCGTCCGGCGGGGATATCCGCCAGCCAGCGCCGCACCAGCGGCCGCAGCTCCTTGGACTGGATGAGCGGCGTGTCTACGATCCCCCTGGAAAGAGCGCACACGCTGTTACTCTCATTCACACCAAAAGGGAAGCCAGTGCTTAAAGGAATGCTAATTAGGAAAGAAAGCCACCACATAACACAGAGGGAGAGCCCCAAGTTAGACCTCCTCTATGGTTACTAGAAGTCATAAATGCAAACTTTGGTGGTGATTTTCTTTCTTGCTGCCTTACATCACTGCTGGACAGATATAGAAGTTTTCTTTTAAAGTGAACACACCTAGTGTATCCTTGGCTACTAGAGGTGCCCCTGTACTTTTAGGTTACTCACGTAATATCCAATTTCCCTTTTCCTGCAGAAACAAGCACGTCATGGGAATCGAGAGCGACTAGAACCGTTTCTCTCGCTGTGCTTGGGAACCCTCTCCCTTTTACCAATTTATTTTCTCGTTGCTTCGCAGCATAACGTTACACAGCGTGTTTGTACACAGCCCAGACACCGAAAACAGCCCAGCTTTCCACACGTCAAAAAAACACCGGAAACAAAAGCCAGCACCTTCCCCAGCCCTAGACGCTCTTTACAGAAAAAGAAGAGGCAAAGGTAAGTGCAGCTCGCTAAGTGCAATTCCCCGTAAACGAATACCTCGAGAAATCACAACACATTTACCTGCCTTGCCAGTTCTACGTTAATGAGTGACTACACCATTTATTAAAACTCTGCTAAGTTCATTTTCTTCAGGTGCCCTGAAAATGAGTGATGCTATAGAAAGCACAATACAGGACCAACCTTTGGCTGGCTTTTATGACTTTAACGCAACTGATTTGTCATACTCCTCCCTAACAACATATTTGTATTTTGTGAAATGTATAATTTTTTTCAGCCCCTGAACAAATATATTTACATAACTGTGTCTAACGAGAAATTACATTTAACTTCTCAGAAATGACAATAACTAAAACCTGAACTGCCAATTCCACTTCATTAGTGTGGTAGAAATGCATTCCAAATGTTAATAAAAATTCCAACATGCTGATAAATTAGCGCTTCTAAGGAGCATGTGACACCTTGGTTAACATATTCAACCTCAATTATATTTCTCTTCAGCACCCTGTTATCTGGAACCTTTGCTGGCAATCAGAGGTGCTGTTTTTCAGCGGCCAATTTTCTAGATAATGTAGCTTATCAACACTGTGGGTAAACTTGCCAATGAAATCAGGCTGCACTGAACCACACACACGCTAATTGCATCTCTTTTTTATGCATATTTACAGACTGTCACTTCAAAGAAATCAGTGGCCCATTGAGGCAGCCAGTTAGCTGGAAGAATTGCCTCTTGCAAATGAAAATTAGCAAACAAGCTAGTGATAAATATGAAATGAACAAAGTATAAAAATACTCGTTTTGTTCTGAAACTTCATCGGCATCCCAATTTATACTTCCAAGGAAATAATTTTTTGCCACACACTGGATTCTGGGTATGAGATTTACCTTTTGTTTTAAATGAAGTCTGAAGTCTTCTATTTACTCTAGTACAAAGTGGAACTAATTCAGACTTCCCCCCAAACGTTTCTGTTTTCACTAATCGGGTAGGATTTAAATATCAGCTTTATTTTTTACTGTAAATATCAGTAAACAACGAAGCAGTTCAGGAACACTGAGCAAAGCAGCTTGGTTAAGCTCTGGCGATGTAATAAAATCAAACAGGTTCCAGGACAGGATTGCAAACAGTTCACTTATTTCCCCTAAGCACAATCTCCTGCTCTCCCCCTCACTGGACCAAACTCCTTGAGAACTGTTTCTTCTTTTTTTTCTTTTTTTTTTTTTTCAGAGAGAAACATGATTTGAGCAGCAGACGTGAAATATGTCGGACTCCTTTCTCTTACATGTCTTCCTCTGTGCTTACAAAATCACTGGCATAATCCTTCTGGCTTTACACTATCAGAGATGAGAATAAGACCCATACTATGCTCTTTTTAATTTACATATATACTTTAATCCAAAGGATTAGGAGATATGGACGTGGATTAGGAAATATGACACAAGTTCTTCCAACATAGCAAGTATAAATAATATAGATTTTGCTAAAATAAAAAAAAGTTTCCTTTTGATCTATTTGAAAAACTGATCCTTGGTCTAATCACTGTCACCTATACATCACAAGATTATATCTCTTGGTGGACCTTTCTTTAATTTTGCTTCAAGTAGTAAAAATTTTGATGCATAACAATAAAATTCCTTGCAAATTTTGTTATATAAATGAAGGAAAAAATATAGCACAAAACTTAAAGTTGCAAACACACATACTGATGGCACTATAAATATTAGGCATGTCATTGATACTACACATCTTCTGGGAAAGCTTTGGTGCCAAGTTGGGCAATTTAATGTTGTCGAACCCTTTTAGGCAGATTTTAGTTGGCTCCTAACCAGTTCCAGCAAAGACAACTGCCAATGCATTAATTCCCTACCTCATCTCGTATGCAGTGCTGAGCCTATCAGTACTTTCTGTTGCATGTCAATGTAATATCAAACTGCTGGTTCCTTAACATTAGATATGAGCATCAATATTTCATTATTGATACACAGGACAATTTGAAGCATTAGGAAAAAAAAACAATTGCCTAAAACATTTCCACTTCGAGAGACACATTAGGAAAAATATCACTTACCAGATACTTAACTGGAATTGTTATGTGCGTTCAATCCCCAAATGAGAGCAAAAAAAGATTCCATCTGCGTGTAACTTGATTTCTTTCAGATGAGTTATTAATTTGAATGAGTTAAGTACACTCCACTTAATCAGGAAGTGTTTAATCAAGAGATCCACTTAATTGGGACATCTCCCAAGGAATTAGATTTAAGTCCAAAGACACTCGCCAGCAACAACTGCTGCTTAATGGGGTAGCAATGCTGCTTAATTGGGACGCCTTCAGGTGCACCCACGTCCCTCGGGGAAGGCTCCGCCACCTTTTTTATTTTGCGCGGTATTACCTGCGTGACACAGCTACGAGGGCAATGGGAGAGGTGGCCAGCAACGGTGGCCCGCAATCCAGTCGAGGTTTGAAAGAAATCTGATTAACGAGTGTCACGTTATTAATAACCCCGAGCTAGGGCAGTGCTTTGCCCTCAGAAAATACTAAGCTAAAACCAAAACCGGGCTGTATCGGAGAACTACCTAAAGCATGAGGCTTGCCTGATTGGCAACAGAAGCCTGGAGGTTCAGTTTCATAAATGCAGTAAATCATGCTAAGGACTCTGCCATAACATTTTACGCATTCATAACTTTTATGCATCGCTCTGCATAAGTTTTATGCACTCATTAAAAAATTAAGTTGATAAAAAGTGACCAGATAGGAAGGGGGAAAAAAGGCCAGGAGGTTTGCATGGTGAAATAATGTCTGAGGCCAGACTGGAGTATCTGGAGCTAGAGAGAGAAGCACGCTGAGAGTGCCGTAAAGTACAGAAGCAGCTGTGTGTGGGAAGAGCAAAGGACTTAAGGGCGCTTTTATGTATTATACTTATCCCCGTACCAGGGCTAATCCTATATTGCCTCTATCTACTTCTGTGCTCCCCATAACCCCCAAAATCCCCTCCTGTTATAAAACGGCTAGTTTGGATGTCTACGCTCAGGAAGACCTGTGCGTTTGGGACAAACCCTCATTTTTCAGCCCTGCAAAGCACTCCAGTGACATCGACAGATGCACCGTTGCATTAAGGCTACGGCTAGGCATTGAGCACTAAGACCAAGTGAGCTGCCGATGCCCCTGTGCCTGGATGAGTCTGGTCTAGAGACACGACGCAAGATTTGAAGGTCTGGTGAGGTTCTGAGGATGGGTTCAAACCTACACTTTTTTTTTTTAAATTCGGGGCGAGACTGAAATGCATGATCACCTCTCACATAGGGTAAATATTTAATCAAGGCAAGGAATAGGCGACATTTGCTTTCGGTGAGGAGCAAATCGGAGAATGCACAAGCAGCCACGCAAACCGCTGCACCGTTCCTTGCTTTGAAACCCTCCCCAGAGCTCCCCGGGCAGTCCTCGGCCAGGGGAGGCTTGGCTAAAGCTTTGAAATGATGGGAGGAAAAAGCTGCCTGGTTTCCACAGCCTTTCACTCTGCTTCCCAGCTCCATTAGCCAGAACGGCCATAGCTAGAACAGACACCCTTGAAAATAGCAAAAACATTTGTCCTCTATGCACCCTTTATGGCTATTTCTCCATGCACAAAAATCCCACTTCCTATTATAGGATTTTGAGCTCACAGTTAGAGTGTAAGAGAGGTGAGGATGATTAAAATGCAACCCTATTTTGGCTTAAAAAGTAGAAAAAGAGAAGCGTGACACTATTTTTTCTTCATGCTCTAACTCCAAAAGCATAACTTCTTCAAATGTATGTTTATAATTTATATGGAACAATGAGTTTTGATTATTCATTGGATAATTTTAAAATTCATTTAAACCCCTAAAAATCAGTAATTTCTCATCCGAGTGCCTTCGAACCATGATTGCAGTGAACGCAGCACTAGTATCCCACCTCCATTAGTAAAGATTACGGGTTTGCTTTCAAGCACAGCTCCTGCCCAGTTCTGCTCAGCTTCACTAATTCCCTTCAACTCCTCTGGCTCCTAAAAGCCAGTGCAAATTCACTAGACCTACTTGTGAGAACACTATTGCGGAGCTGTTAGCATTGGCATGGGGAAAATCCTATTAAGAAGTAAGATGTTATTTAAAGAACCTGTGGATCACAGAGCAAAGGAGGGACTCACCATTATAATTAGCAATAAATAATCATAAGGAAGACAGCTAGCACGAGGAAGTGGAGAGCAGACCGACAGTAAAAACAGGCACTTGCTGGAGAGCTTTGTGTTTTTTTTTTTTTAATTATTCCACTTTGTGGATTAAAATATGTAATTTGTTTTTCCTAATTTGCTGTACATTGTATCTTCATTATTACAATTTAACTCCTGGGTTAAAATCCTGCTCTTCTTTCTTACTCTGATTGACTTCAATGGTCTACGGAATTTGACCGCTTCCAATTAGCACTATCCACTTGGGTTTCTGCTCAGCACTATCATGTGCTGTTAATTGTTTAATAAAATGACTGTGTTGTGCATGTGTGAGAAACGGGGAGAGAAACAGTGTACACGGCAAAAAACTTTGCTTCACAAATTAATACCATAAAATAAAACGTACAGCTTTAAGCCTTCAAAAATAAGGAAAATGTAATTTGTTTCACATATATATATATATATGTGTATATATATTTATTTACAAAATTACACCTGGTCTCCTGTGATTGTCAGAGCTGAACTCAACTGAGTATCTCAATTACAGCAGTACAATGTGGCTTTTAAAGTGCCTATATATTTGTCTCAAGCAAAAAGGGGAAAGAAGTATTGTCTATTAAGTGTCAAAAGCCTTTTCTTTAACCGCAGAAGGCTTGGACAGACTAAGGAAATATTTCATCTGGAAGAGAAATGCTAAAAACTACCCTTCACCTTATCGGAAAACCTATTATCAAATGCTAAAACCTCTTCTTAAATCCCTGAGTATACACAGCAACAGAGCAGACTTGGTTCTAAGTATTTAAACCTTTGTTAAGGAAAAGACAACGTGAAAAGGGATGCAATCCACCTGCTAATTAGAAACTTTATTTTCCAAGATACTGTTCATTTGAGCTTTTTAGAACATTTCATTTTCTTTGTACTTTCAAAATGAGACTGCATTTTACTTACGGGGAAATGCAGTTGACTTTTACTCCTCTGTCAATCCATTCGGTTCCTAACGTCTGTGTTAATTTTACCACCCCAGCTTTCGAGGTGTTGTACGCTAACTGCTTCTGTGGGTGCGGAACTGGTAGGGATTCAGAAATAGAGAATTAGTTAGTCTCCAGAAAGGAATGTGCGTCTAGAAGTTTAAGTGCTATATTAAGACGAGGTGTTTGCCATTTACCCCGATACCTGGCAGGGAGCAACAAGAATTTAGCCACCCATCTCATCACAAAATTCTAAATCTGTATTTTCCCATCTAACATTTTTTGCCTCAGTAACTGGGCAGCTGAAAAGAAAATGGAGAAAAAAAGAAAAAAAAAGAAATTAAAAATTCTGGGTTTGGGAAAAGCCAAAAATATTGCATTAAACATACACAGGCAGCTATTTGTTTACAAGATAAATAAATATATATGCATGTACACATGCATATATTATACACATACTGTATGCACATTTATAGATGATATGTATATTATAATGCTAATGTAATATAATATAATATGCATGCATAACAGATTTTATATAACATGCTATATTATATATAGCTCCCTGAAACAAATTATTCTGCTTAATTTTTAAATTAGTCACAGTCTGAAGCAAACACATCATATTATCTCCTCAGTGTTTGTATGGATGTGAGCAAACTCGTGTCCCAAAAATTCAGAACACCCACCACTTTCAGACCCCAAAGCTTTTGCAAATGTTTCAGGGATGTCACATGTCAGTCATGGAGGAACATGATTAGCTTTGCTAATGACAGCACTGAGGTCAGCGCCATGCGCTTGGGGGGCTCTGCCCTCCGCGGTGCTCACGCCCCTGCAGCCTTCTTGGGATAGCTGCTTGAGGACTTGTCCCCAGCGGGTGCACGCTGTTGGGTAACAACGTACCCTAAAAGCATGGGAATCATTTGAGCAAGGTGTAGCAGGCAAAACCCATAGCATTTTGGTAAAAGACAGCACGTAAGCAGAAATGGCAACTGGCATTAAATTCATCTGAGCTTCTGAAGTTAAGCTGTTCTCTGTCAGCACTATCCATGTTATCCCAGCACTTCCACATGCTTTTATTACCTAAAACTGTTGCTTTCAGGTGTGCCATTTGAAAGAGCAAAAAAGAAGAAAGTAACAAATGGCAGTGTCCTCGAGTTAGCCAAAAGCCCAAAAGCCCACAAAGTGCACGAATAAGGACCTTTGCCTTGAATATAAAAGTCCATAAATACATTCAAAGAGCATGCAGGATTGGGGCCACAATTGGTGGTTCGAGGTTTTTTTTTTGGCATGTGCTGAAGGTGTCGCCAGAACAAGAAGACCTTTTGCTTGCTAGGAAGGGAGCGTTTCACACTGCGCCTCCCTCTGCCAGCATTTCCGCCCCACTGCTTTTTTGTTCAAAACTGAATCCTCCTCATTTCTATGGCAAAACTAGTTTGCCCTTTGTGCGTATCTGTCACCCCACAGATGCAGCACTCCGTGAGGGCTCTTGAAAAGGAGTGGAACGTAATTTCTTGATTAATTGCTATGCATCAGCTCCAAGTTACGTACAACGTCGGTAGTTAACCCCCATAACCTCCCAAAAGCAGTTCTTTGCTGAACTTCCCAAACATGTCTGTCTGTGATAAATCATTCAGCGTTTGCTGAGAGGATAAGAGTTTTGGCACCGTCTTTGCACTTCTAGCACGTGTGGGTGAAAGGAGCAAGTTGATGCGAGCTATCAGAGGCAGCTTCCTGATCTGGGGTGGCTGCTCAGGCAGCGTTTGCAAGAGTCCCTCCGTGCGAGTGCTTTGGTCTTCACAGAAATGGTTAAGCAAGGTAATTCAGAAGACGCAGTTTCCCCCTCCTGTGACACTTGGTCCCTCTTAATCAAAAAGGCTCAAGAACGAGCTGGAGGGTGTTAGGGAGCTCTGGAGCTGGGGAGTCCGTCGCTGCTGAGCGCCCAGCGCCACATCCTCCTCCCTGACTGCAGCCGTCCTTCCAGCTGCGCTCTCATAGATGGAACAGAAAATCCTAAACCCTCCAAACTTACACAAAGAGAGACAAGAGCTTCTGAGTAAAGCCACGTCTTCGGAAGTGTTACAAAAACAAAGGAATTAGTAAGGGTTCTGGAAAGGGAGGACACTCGCTTCATTACAGAGAGAAGATGGGAGGAGAGCAGATAAAAATGCTGCCAACATCAGCTGCATTACATTTTTAAACACCTGACACTATGTTTTTGCTGCCTTGTTCCGTGCATAAGGCTCCTAGCCTGACCTTGAAGCAGCCATGTAATGTTAATGAGAGGAACACACAGATATAGGAGACCAGATCGCTTACAGCTGAAGATATTCACTGTAAAAATTACAGATCTGAGTTACACCTGTATAAGTCGTGCAGAGCAGCAGCCGTCTCGTCTCCGCTGCTGTAGCATACGTCTGGAATAATTCCAGCCAAATATCAGAATCAAAATGCACATATGCAAAATATATGCAGCTTTTCTTCAATTAATTAAAGCTGATTCGGAGCAGCGTATCGGAAAAATCACAAACAAATCTCCCTACCCTGCTAAGAGTCTCCTCATTTTCCTGCCTCTCTCAGGAAGGACTCAACCTACCAAAAAAAAAAATATCCCCTAACTATTTCTAGAAACATTTCATACTATGCCAGTTGGCCAACATACTTAAATAACCAACCAACCAACATATTTATTTAACATTCAGCAGATGGACATGATATGAACATCGTAGTTTGTAGTTGTAGTTTTATAACTACTAGATTTTTCCCATGCCAAGATTCAAACAGGTTCAGAAGGTAAATGCATCCTGGCCTGTCTTAGCTCCTAGCCTGACTGTGTCCACATACATTAACTTTTGGTGACTTTTTGATGCATCTCATGGTGTCCTTCCCAGTTTGCTACCACGGGAGTTGCTTCCCAGGCTTCATTTCTGCTCCAGGACGATAACGACACCCATCTCCGAACCCGGCCGGTGCAGCAGAGCAACGGAGGGGCCAAACTTCGCCCGAGCCCACGAGCGCACTCGGGAAGCGCCTCTCCTCTAAGTAACACCCAGTCCTTCTCAGCAACAAAAGCAGGGCCGAGAGCAGCATTTCCAGCCAGCAGGCTCTCAGCTGGGGCAAATATCCAGCGCTTCATAACTTTCTCTGACACAGAATACCTCCTAATAAATTTTGCTTTATTATTATGATGTGGGCTGTGGCAACCCAGGCCCGGAGCAGAGCCCCACTGCGCAAAGCAGAGCACCAGGCGTTTGAAGTTTAAAGACTTACGTTCTTTTTTCAAATTATTTTTGTTTGGGAGATTTTGTAACTCTGCAAAGTTGGGCAGAGGGATGGAGCCCGGGTTTAACCATAAGTAAAACAGCTGGTAAAGACACTTGAAAAAAAGATTAACAACAACATTAAAAATGCATTTTTGAAGAAACATTTAAAGTTACTGGGTAATAAACTGAACAGAATGTCACAGAATGTCAAACTGGGCACAGTAAAAATAAATGTTATTCCCAAGGAAAATAAAAGACTGCATATTTATGTAACATTCAGCAGATGGACATGATATTAATACAGGGGTTTTCGGTTGTACTTTTATAGCTACTAGATTTTCTTGCCTAACTTGGCAACCCAAGGCACCATTTGATTTTTGGATTTGGACAATACTGCAACAGATGTCCAGACCAATAAAATAAATTCCTGAAGGGCTATGCTTAATTTGTGTAATTGATCAATTTTTGTTACATGGGCCTCAGCTCACCAGCATGTAACTGCCTTCCAGATTAGCTCAGCAGTAGGGATTTCATTCCATATGTTACAATGGTTTATTGGCGCTTTTGACGACACCGCTGATTCAGCAGTGTTGGTGGAGACACCTGTTGGCAACGATAATGAAATATAACCGTGGGCACGAGGGCGAAGACCAGCACCAAAGCTTTTGGGTGGCTTGTAAACATCACAAGGGCAGAGTTTCCCGCAATCGAGCGTGCTTGCCCAAAATTAAGAGAGAGCGCACCAGCACCTCGCCCAGGCAGTCAACGCCGCAGACTCGGCGAAGGTGACGCCGCCTCTTCTATAAAAAGTAATAAGTGCTCTAAAACATAGAGGACAGATAAATGTTGAAAAATGATATCAATAAAAATTTTGTAGTACATTTCCTCTAATACAAAATGTCAGTGATTTACTCCTTCCCAATACAGGTTTAATTGATTCAAATGGCATCGGTAGTAATTAAAATATGGATTCTGAAGCACAACTGTTAGCTCTCATCACTCACCTATTAAACTTGCCATAGATGCTGTGTTAATTATCTTCCCATATCCTTGATTCAGCATAATGCGGCCTGCAGCCTGTGACAGAAATTAAAGGAAAGACCAGTGACCCTTTTTGTGATTGTGCTAATAATGACATGATAATAAATTAGTCTTCACTTTTCAGAAGAGTTTATGTGCGAGCACTTTTTTTTTTTTTAAGAATTTGATATAAAAACTATAAAAATGGCTGATGCAAGAAAAAATCCCACTGCCGTTTCAGTCCCTCTTTGCAGTTGGCAACATTTTTCAAAAAAACACTAATGCTGCGAATGACCCCCCCAAAGATATCTGCTTCTCAAGAAGCATCACATACCCATCCTCCAAAGATCAGGCCATTCTTAAATGCCTGAGTTTGGGCAGCCAGTAGTTGCCAGCTACATTTGAAAATACTGATCAAAATCTATAGTTGACATAGAGCTAATCTCTCATTAACTCCACCAAAACTAAGATCAATTTTATTGTGATAATCAGTAACAAAGTATTATTAAATCTTGGTAAATGCTTAGAAACAGTTGCCCATTTGCAAAAACAAAAACCATGCAGAATTTCACACTTACTTGGCAGCACAAAAATAATCCTCGTAAGTTAACATTAAAAGTTTTGTCCCATTCTTCTAGTGAAGTATCTTCGCTTGCAGAGTTCATATTGATTCCAGCGTTGTTGCACGCGATGTGGATTGTGCCCCAGCGAGCTACAATTGTATCCACAAACTTCTGCACATCCTCGGGTTTGCTTACATCTGCTGCAAGGGCAATGCTTTTAATCCCTGCATTAAAATAAGATTGATAAAGTCAGTATAGGAATTCACAGAAAAAAGAAATAATCTATTTTAAAATTCTTTATTTTCATATAAATATATATAGATAGATATAGATATGCATATACATACATACTTTTGTGTGTGTGTATACATATATACGTATATATACATATATATACATATGTATATATACACATATATGTATATATATGTATACACACACACACACATATATATGTCATCTTATTTCACAGCTCCGTAAACGGTAGCAAACTGTGTTTTTCTTATTCTAGTGCTTTTTTTTTTTTTTTTAAGTTACTAACTGGTGTGAGGCTTGCCTGGTGGAGGCTAACATAAAACCAGCATCTGAAAGTGGAGTTCAACAGTGCATGAGGACGAAGCTTTGAACACTGCACCATCTTCTGTCCAAAGATTCAACTGCAGCTTCCCAGCTACAGCGAGTAATTCCAGCGGCCAGGTGCTGAGGACCAAAAAGACTATCACTTGCATATGGCTGGTATCAGCTCATAAACAAGATAAAGGAAAAGATTCTTGCATTTGCTCAAATGCAGATGTTTCCTTGCCAGCCCCCTCCCCCCCCAATCAATACTATAGAAATCAAACCAATCTGTCCAAAAAACTTTCTGTGGGTGAACAATAGCATCTGTTCGGCTTTGAGCCTCAGACAAAACCAAGCCAGTTTTAGCTGGGAGCTAACCAGGGAGACCCGAAGGTTCACAAGGATGGCGCTCACAACCTTCTTTCTTGCAAATCACACTGCCAGAATAACATAAACATACAGAACTGAAAAGACTTACTGGAACCAAAAATGCAAAAGTTGCTATTTTTTTCCCCCGCAAGAAAAATCCAGACTTTGACTTTTGCTCATGTGTAGTCCAAATCCCAAACTACTCCAATGTTGATTTGTAAATCACCTGATTTAGTTTATTATCAAAATCAGCTTTAAATATCCTTATTGGTAAATAAAATAAGCAGCCTACCAAGGCATCTGAACCCAAGGATTATCCACATCCGGAAAGTCGAACCAGGCTATACAAGTAAGTGCTCTGGTGAACCGGGTCTTAATTCACAAGAAGGGAGGCAGCTATTAGGGTTATATCACAGATCAGTAGCCTACAAGCAAACAGTGGGAAGTTATAGCTGCTAAAGCAAGCTTATTCCAGACCACTGGGTTGGGGAAAGGCTAGATGCTACAAGCAGGGCTATAATACAGGTTCTCCATTTCATGTTTGCTGCTTTACTAGCAGAGAATGAATTGGTCAACAACTTAACAATAAATATGGTCTATGAGAAAGAAAGCTGCATTTTTCAATTAGAACTATGTTTTTGAGGTAAGGATGTGTGCTGCCAGCTAGACCCACACTGCTCCAAGGGCCGATGCCACTAAGAGGCAAAGAGCTCCAAGAAGGGACTTTGGTTTCCAGGGCTTGGGGCCATAGGGGCGGGTTCCTGTGCAGCTTGCAGGTGCGAGCTCTGCTAGAGGCGCTACGGTCACATCATCTCTTCCCCAGGTCTGATAAAAGCACTGGTCAGGCCTCTTTCTCCTACTCAGCAGCCTATTTTCACTTAACTAGCAGGAGCTAAATACTCTTGAAAGTTTTCCTCTCCTTCAGAGCTGCTTGGAGGTACCTAGAAGTTCAGGAGTTACTGGCAGGAGCTGGACAGGCCAACGCAGTGAAGTCTTGAAGTCCCTAGACTCACAAGGAGAGGAATGGCTGGTTCACCATATAATTCAGGGTGATTGCTCATGGACACACATGACTACCAGATTGGTGCCATACCCATACATGGGCATCTGAGCTGCATTTGATCTGCCAAACTATGCCGCAGACCTTGTGAGAAAGCTCAGAAACTTATTTCCAAATGACTATGGGTGCTCCTATCCGTCCACAGCCACACACGGGGAGCAGAGATCCCTTCTCGGGCGATGTAAGGGATTATCTGCAAAGCTTCAAGTCTCATTCCCTTACATATGTCATAGGACTGGCCGTTCAGGTGGTGCTGCGCTTTTGCTTCACTCCGGATGTCACTCCTGTGGGTAAGCTGAGGTGGAGTCTGCCAGCATTCAGAAGTCAATGGGAACAGAGGCATATGCCATCACTGGACAGAAATCTGAAGACTTACTTAGTTTTGGTATTCAGAGCAATTTAAGATAATTGTGGGATTCTATTTAAATGGAAAATTTATTCTCCATTTAGCCCTCTTTCAGGTTATTCTAATTACAGAGAAAATAAAAAGGGGTGGGGCGAGGAGGGGAGAAATAGCCTTGACCCTTTCTTAGGAGAAGAATCTCTCCCAAACCGAAGCTTTTGAGATGGAGGCTTCCATGGAAGCAATGCAAAACAATAAAACCCCAGTGATACTTGGAGAAAATGACAGAAAAGAGGCTTTCAGATGGCAAAGCTCCTCTTGACCTCCGGTACCATCAGGAGTACATCGGAGTGCATGACACGAGGTCCTGCTGGTGTGCTCTCCACAGCAGACCATGGGAGGTAACGATCTTCACCTATATAGGGGCCTCCCTGCTTCGCACAGCAGAGAAAAGGGGCAGACCCACAATGCAGCAACCTATACAAAATGAACGCTTATCCTGCTGCAAAACAAGCTCTCTTATTTTATCACAGGTTATGTGATAAATATGCTGAAAGAATAAGATAAGCCAGACAGCCCCGGTTGCTCCTCCGAATTGTTATCAAGACATGTAATGCACAGGGGGCTGCTACAATTCTTCTTATTGAATTTACAGACAAAATGGGTGCAAGCGTGTAACTAATGGTAACTGAATGAGGCTTTTCACCTGCCCTCCAATTCTCACCCCATTTATGGCTTCATCTCGTGCAATAGTTCATAACAACAAGACAAAAGGCGCTACATGTGAGTATCTAGCAAAGAAACAGCAAAGGCACGCTCACTTCAAAAACAGAGCCCCACACTTGACCTTAATCAATTCAGCTGATATCCCTGCACTCTGAAAGAGAGAGGAAAAAAAAAGCGCACGGTCTCCGCCTCTCCACAGTCCCTCCCAAACCATATGTTAAAAAGAAAGATAAACTTTGGAAAAATATCCTTAAATAGATAGCACCAATCAGGGGTAACAAACTCAAGGCAATACCCCACTGCTGCACACGTGGCAGTACCCAGTGCACCTTTTTGGTCTTCAGAGTAGTTTTGCAAAGCTCATGGAAGCAGTTTGGGATGAAAAAGGGGCAGGAGAGCAGCCCATGTGCCGAGTCTGCCCTTCTGCAGCAGACATGTGCACAGCCCCCCCCACCATGGGGCTCCCTCTCTGGACATGATTCTCTCAATGGTCCCTCAATATGAATTAATAAATGGTATATAGATAGGAATATCACAAGTGACATTGTGGGGAAGGCACTTGCATAGTGTACAGTGAAAATGCCCATTTTAAAAATCCCACCAGACTAATTTTCCCCTCAAGGTAAAGGCAGTAATTCCCCCTGAAGACAGAGGGGGATATGTAGTGGAAGGTAAGCCTTAGGATTTTTTGGTTATGTTTCATCATCTTTGGTTCTTCTGTCAGGATCTATTAGCAACTGTTGAAAAAGGTATTATTCACTTAGGATTCTAAAAACAAAGACCCCTGTGGTCAAGGGAGATACCCCCGAGCTGTCTAACAAAGATAAAACTGAGATCACAGGGTTTCTGATGTTTAAAACTCATCATGAAATGATGGCACTATCCCAAAGGAAAATAAAGAGCTCTTTGGTATAGGAAGCAAAGTGGGTTTAAGAAAGCTAACTGAAATGTTTTGTAAAAAGTATCAGTATGGAAATGACTTGGGGCACTGTATTTCCAACTTTGAGTAAGAGATTCACAACCAAAGCGGGGGGGGAAAAAACAGTTCCTTTGTATCTCCTATAGCAGGACAAATACGTATTAATACTACAATGATTGCTTTAATTTACTCATGTGAAAATTCCCAGAGTAAAGCTAGCTGAGCCTTTTCGTCAAAATGTATTTCCAACAGACTACATTACTTCTTTGAAGCCAAAATATTTCATGGAAACATATTGATTTCAACAAAAGTTTTCAAGGGAAGGCTTCTGAGGCCCAAGCTAGACACTCTGGTTACCTCTGAAGAGAAAGAGATTGAAACCTGACCTTTTCAAATCCTTTCCAAAAAATGGGCGTTTGGATATAATTCCCTTTCACAAAAGCATCACAAAGTTTGGGTTTCGTTCCAATAAGGAATGATAATAAATTTGAAACCTCAGAAAAAAACCCATCATGAGAAGGAATAGATGTGCCCTGACCAGCTGCACTGGTCAGGCTGACAGAGAATATTTGACCTTAAGGATAAGGATATGGAAAGACTGAGAAGCGAGATTGTCTTTGCTTTAGACTGGAATGCCTCATGACCCTTCCAACTGCATTTTGTAATCCCCCCCCCACATCCTCAGGGTTTGCAGCCCACCAGCGAAGAAGCAGAGATGCAGGGCTTCCATTGAAGAATGGATGATCAAACTCCTACTGAAAATGCCCTGCAGAAAAGTTAAGTTAGCTTTCTAATAGACTGCTAGCATCCAAAGTCTCATGGCTCTTTCAAGTAGCCCATTTCTTTCTGAATAGCTCTACTTGATATGCAGGATCTAACTGTGAAAAAAAGTCCAAAAGGCAAGTTAACTTGTAGGGCACAGCTATTGTGTGCCAAGACCATATGGCTTCAGTGCATAAGAAAATGCAAAGCTTCGGGGAAGGAGGAACTGGATGACTCAAGAATTTGTAATAGGTGCTGGAGACTTTCTGTTCTTGGTCATTATTAGAGATCAGCCCAACAATCAAAGCTTTAAATGGTTAGACTAATATTCAGTGGAAAGTGTCTCACAGTGCTTACTGGAACTGTGATTGTACAGACTGGGACTTTTTTTTTTTTAAAATGTTCTCTGCAGAGGCTCAGGATGGTATCAGAGCCACAACTGAACCATTCTTCACCCCTTAACCTGGAAATTGAATGAGGCAGTATGGTGAGCAAGGGAAAGAAGGCTGCAGGGGGTGGCTTTGCTGGAGAACGTGGCTTCTAATAGTGCAAACTTGTCTCTCTTGAGCATGTTTCAGTTTAGCAGGAAAAGTCTTACACTGGCTAAGGCAGAATGGGAACTCCAGGTTTGAACTGGCAGATCACTGCTCCCCCAGTCATGAACAATCTCTTTCTGAAACCATGGTGGACACAAATACTGGTGTCTGCATCCATACGGGAGCTTGAAAAACTCCTGGATAAAGATCTGTCTCTAGTGGCAATGAAGTATCACACTTAGAAGAAGGGTTGACTGTACTCTCACAAGAGGAATCATAAAACGAGTAACACTTCCTTTCTTTTCTCATTAAAATTATATTTCCAGTTTTCTTTTTTCCCTTTACAGTTGCAGTTTAGCATGACTCTAGGGGGAAATTCAATTTTATGTTACATTTTGTGTTTTTACTGCTAAAATTGAAGTGGCTTGTAGAGGATCTTACCTCTTATCTGGGATTTTCGTTATGTCTATTAGTGTTCTGTTCCTATATCTGACCTTGCAGGCATGATTGAAAGAACTACGGGGGAGGTTTTCAAAAATAATTTTATCATCTGCTTCGGTTTGGGGTCGCAGTGTTTAAATGCTCCTGATTCCCAGAAAGGCTGAGGAACTATCCCCACAAAATGATAGCTCCTTTAGGATCTAGAGTAGAGACCTTCACTGATTCTCCACTACCAACAACAGCACTGGTAGTGATACGTTACCATGGTAAGAAGCCTCAAGTGCGCTGGCTGCTGCATGATCTGCTCTGAGGGACATCTCCTTTCCACCTGTATGATGTAGCTTATGTGAGTTATTTATAAGAGATGACCCTCCTCTGTCCCCGTCAGTCATGGCTCACTGCATGCTGTTTCCTTCAGTCACTCTTCACAAGGAATTTTTTTTTGATCAATTTGCCTCTCTGCCTGAGTTCATATGCTATGTAACACTAACAGATGATGCAACACCAGTGACTGTTTGCTGAGGAAACACTGACATCCAGCCTGGCTAGAAGAAGCTCTGTGACTGTGGCATATATTTGCTATTTGGAAATCCTTTGCTCTGACTTATTCTCCACCAGGCCTTGCTGAAAGACAATTACAGCAAGGAAAACAGTTAAAGCACTCATCACCGGTTCACGTACACAGCAACCTGCAGATCAACGTACTGCTTACCTTTAAGGCTCAGCTCATATGCTACTGCTTCTGCCTTTGCAAGGATGAGATCCACAACGGCTACTTTAGCACCGGCTTCCCCCAACGCATGTGCAAAAGCTCTTCCAATTCCTTGACCTCCACCTGTTACGTAGGCCACCTTCCCATCCAACCGCAGCCGATCGAGGATGCGACGCTTGTTATAACCCCAGAAGACATCATCCTTCACCACGTCTTTCTGAAACAAAAACATATATATATAGTAAGGTGCAAGTCTCAATAATGTGATGGCTATTAAGGGTTCTGGCTCTGAGGATGAGGGGGTGGCTTGCACAGGGAGCCACATCTTCTTGACCCATTATTTAATTCAAAAGGCAAGCTTAATTCAGGCTGAAGAGCAGCCTTATCCCCACACATATTAGTCTAAACAGGAGCATTAAGGTGGAAGGCAATAGAGCAGAATAGCTACGGTTTGGGGAGAGTCACTAACTACTCCACTTACATGAGAGTAGGGGAAGGTACTCCTGACCTAGCTTCCACTGACCTCTCTGGGAGACTAGCCAGGTATGTTCTCTCAAAATATGATTGTTTAAGTCTTCCAAATTCTGAACAATTTAGAAACAATCAGTTATTTCACCCCCCCGCCCAGGACAAACCCTGCCCTCAGATTTGACTGGCTCCAGGAAGACACAGAGACTAAGAACAAGTTTCCAAAGGCAGGATTTGGCTCGAGCAGAGTGCAATCAAAATATCTTCACAAGGCTGGTGCACAAATAAAGATATCAGCCAATAACTTAAACCAAGCTGTCATCTGATCAGCTGCCATACATCATTTCCCCCTGACTGGAATCAAAATGGAAAATACAAGATGTCTAAAATATTGCTTTTGAAATGCTAGGAATTACCAGTGGGTGCAGTTTTGGGAGCACTCAGAAACAGCAAAACACTCAGAAAGTTTGGGTCTGGCTTTACAGACTTGGACCATTAAACTTCCACATGGGAATTTCCTTATGGCTGCCTGATGTCCATCACAGGAAAAGGAGTTCCTATCCAAAAAGATAAAAGCACCACCTTTCCCCAGGACAGGTGAAATCTAAGGACGTGAGTAAACTATACACATGGTAACCATGCGATCGACTCTTACATGCTGGCATAAGCAGGCTCTCCCACTGATTAAGAATTTGGCTTCCACTGTTTAGGTAAGGCCAAAATATACCTTTTTAAAATGATAAAACTATCCAGACAAGTTTGATGCTTTTCATGGCTAGTCTGTAACCCTGTACGCTATTTTCCAAGCTCAGTTTGGTTTTTTCTCAACTCTGTGGTCTCCTCTATAAGGACGGAAACACTGTATTATATACCTCTACTATAAAGCTATCCAGAGCAAGCAAAAGAAAATATTCATGATAATGAAAGCATTTTTCCAACATTAGCACTGATAAGCTATTGCTGCAGCAACCCCTCTGGCTCTGGCAATATTCAGCTCAGTGAGCCTAGAAGGGCATCATGTGCTGACTTTGGACAAAAGCAACATTACTTCAGAAACATCCTGTCAGCTTGCTGCAGATGGATCCGAATTCTGTCACCTGCACTCCCCTGAAATGGGACGTCCCAGAGAGCACCAGGCAGAAACTCCCAGCTAGCACCATGCCAGCTGGCTCTGCCAATTTTGTACAGCTGGATTAGCACAGCACCAGCAAAATCTTGTCCAAAGACTTTGCAAGGAATTGGTATTTATTAGCCTGGACTAATGAGACTACTTTGTGTCAACCTGAAGCTGCTAAGTCCATGGTGCATCAGACCACACCACGACAGAGGGTGAATTTGGGACCTCCCCACCAAGACAAGGAATTATTTTCTTCACCATCCTCAGCAGAGGCAAGGTTTTAGCAGAAGTGCTCACGGAAAAGAAATACAGACCTTTGATTCAGTCACTGCATCTGGAGGCGCAGGGCTCCTTCGAACGATGCTCAGTCCGCTTTGCACAGGTAGAATAACCTGCAAACATACACACACGGCTCTTCACTAATTTTTTTTTACTTGGCGGCTCATCCAAATTCCCCTGATGTTAAGTGGAGTCCTTCCTTAGACCATGGTAGTTTTTCTCCCACTCCTATTCTTCAGCTGAAATTCTTTCCAACCCCAAAATATCAGACAACCATACTTGTTCATGTTCCTGCTCCAAACTCACTGCTCCCATTAATACCAGGAAAAATGCAATTTTGTCTCTCAGTTTTCTAAGTAAGTGCCAGCTTCTAGGATTTCTGGTGCACTGGGTTTTCACTGTCTGGCTAATGCTGTCATGAAGATATTCTGGTCTCATTCTTGGAGCTTAGTAAACAATAATAGCAATATTTTTGTGTTCTTCAGCATGTAATAGAACATTTTTCTGGCACCTACCTGTGAATTTCAGTGGGTTGTATCCTTTCTATGATCCCATTATTACACTATAGTGAAAACTGCACCCAGTGTTGGGAATTCAACGCCATTATCAAACTAATTAAAAAATTAGATGTAGAAAAAATATGCTATTTGCATGCATTAAATGCCTAACAGTAATATTCGGGGCAAGAAGAGTTATGTCATGAGTCTTTCCCTCTTCTACAGATGAGAGCTTTTGCTCCTGATACTTTAGCTTATAATTCTATTAATTATATATAGAATAAATACAGAATCACAGCGGGCACCCCTAGAGGCAAGGCCATGCAAGCTGCAGATGGACAAAGTCCTTGACCCTGCGAGGCACAGACCAAAATCTTCTGGGCACGAGCCTTGTACCTCCATGCCTTGGGGATTTTTGGCAAGGGAGAGCACAGGAAGGGATTCCTAGGGGAGAGGAGACAGACCTCAGCTGTCCCCTCATGGGAAGGCCTGAGAGCACTAGAGGGGCAGCAGGGACCATGGCCTCTGGCCATCCTCGCTGTCCCTCCACTACCTCAGGTGAAATCATAGGCTGAAGCTTTGGCAAGGAAGCATGAGGGCAAGCGTTGCAGGCTGGTGCCTTCTGTCCCAAGATAGGATCAGCTATGCCTGCATTTAAAGCCCTGGTAGGTATTTGTTTGGTGTTGTGTCTAAAACCATACATATACATCCTATCACACAGATTTTTTCTCCTGTTAGAGTAGGACTTTGTTGGAGTCATATTCTCATATTCTGCTGGCGATGCCCTACAGCCTCCGGAGCCTTTAAAGCAGAGCAGCTCTTCCTCTTTTGTACCATAGAGCCGATTATTCTTTCCTAAGTGCTGTGCTTTTATCTTGCCTTTAACGTTGCAGATGATGTAGATGGAAAGTAGAGACCTTTTCTGAACATAGGAAGTCATACTTAGAGCTCAAGTAAGGTGAATTATAATAACATTTTAGTTCATTTTAGGTCCCCTGGATAACGGCACCAACAAAAGAAACATTTTAAAGGGTACTTTGTAAAAATCCATAGACACTTAG